GCTGGGATACCTCCGGGAAAGGTTCAGGACTAAAGTGTCGTGTAGACTTTCCCATATCGACCATGTTGAAGGTGACTTCTAGAAGTTCGCCTCCCTGACCGGCTGATCTTCTTTTATGGAAGTGCCTTGGTTTAGGTTTGGATGCTTCAGTAGAGATCCTTTCGAATACCGAGACCCTCCGTGGATCGGTCTTAGGGCAGCTATATTCTGATAATACTATCCTGATTAGTCTCTCATAAGGACAGTGAGAGTCTATTTCTGGGCTATTTCTCTTTCGAGACTTACCCCCAGCCCGATAGTATAACTCATCGGCGTTATGGCCAGAGCAACCTATTGGCTGTTTATCAGGTATAACATCATCTTCTACCAGACATGTTTTCTTCTGAATAAGCAACATCTTGTTAGCGTTTGCAGGAGTCACACATTTGGAATCACACCTTTTGTGAGGGTGAAACCCTAACAGGCTCCTGGTTTTTCACACGTACTCCCAAGCGGGTGGTTACGAGAATTAGTTTGTTGGAAGGTCGTGTATGACCCCCAGTCTGGATGTTTGCTCGGGAATCATTTAGCGGACCCAAGCATTTCTTAACAGGAGCTTTGCCTCGATCTTTAGGTAGAGGACCAAGGCGATCCTTCAGCGGAATTCTAAACTTGAAGAGACCCACGCTACCGTAGGGCTTCATCGGAGGTGCGAGAGTAGAAGGAGTTGGATCTGAAATTGACGAAGGCTGAGAAGCAGCCTTGGAGCTGGAATTGAATGAGAGACACGACTGGTGTCTCTTATCAGGTAGAGACGCCTTAGCTATTTTCGGTGCAGTTATGGGCGCTATTTTAGACTTCGACATCCAAAGTTGCTTAGACCTTAGTGGCTCTTTGACCACCTCTTCTTTTTGCAACTCTTGTGCCTTTTGCACAAGGATCCGGGCATGCGTAAGAAGTGCGCGACACTTATGGATGTGGTCCTCGAGAGTAGAATGGGTTCGTTTGACACGAACCTATTTATTAGTCCGCGGTTGGAAGGAGGATCCTGATACTTGTTGTGGTGACGGCTTAGCCACTTGGCACTTTCTAAACTCTAGATCTACTTGGTAGCGGAATCTGTCCACCTGCTCTAAAGCCTTCGCGAATTGTTGGGTAAGACGTTGGGGGCACCTCTGACGAGCCCTCTTCGTCAGCACTAGTGCGCTTTCAGCGGACAACTCCTTGACTTTTGAGTAGTTGTGGCAAGCACCAGATCCGGTTTCTTTGGACGTTAGGGAAGAGTCTTCAACAGGACTTGGGTGAAGATTATCACCCCGAGTCCTCAGATCTGAAGACTAACGAACCTTCTTGAGGGAAGTGGTCTTCCTGCGCTTGTAAAGAGAGGAAGATCTGGAGGAGGAGATGTACTCCTCGAACTTTTTCTGGTTGAAATCGTGTTCAACCTCTTCATCCACATGGATCTTGATCAGTGGCTGCGACACGACAGCCTCGGCAGCGAGGTTGTTGGCTCCCACTATGGTCGTCAGCATGTTCACGTCGAAAGTTGATTTGTTCGTTGCGGGACTCATTACAACTTCAGTTGTTATAATAAGTTCAAAAAAGAAAGACTTTTTATAAGTCCCCTTACACATTGAAAATAAAAAAATTACAACTTTCTTGAGAACACACGCAGAAAGATCGTTTATCGGTCTTCTGCTTGCGCCAGATCTTTGTCGGTGCCAGGGTTTATCCGTGGACCACCAACTGATCAGATCCGAATAAAGATTTTATTGCCTCGTAAAGGAGATAAGAAATTAAAGTGACTATATCAGTAACAACGAGATAATCACTCTTCTCGAGAATCACAGCTAGGTGCGATCTCAAGGGAAATGGATGAACGAGATGTAGATCTCTCGAACCCTTCCTCTCTTTGTATTGAAGAACTCGCCAAGATCTCTTCCTTCTCTCTAAAATTAGTTCTCCTCACTCTTCAATTCGACAGGGCTTCATCAAGACTTGAGAATTCTGGATCTATGTAAATGAAGGCCCTAGGGCCATATTTATAGGCTTTAAAATCTCATTTTTCGTATAAGAACGACCGATTTGCTCTCATCTTTAGTTGTAACCACTTAACCACGTTCCAAGATATCTTCAAATCAGTTGGGGGAATGTTAGATTAGAATATCCCGAAATCTGGGCAGTTAACAGTGAAAACTGCATTTCAGGGCACGAGACATATTTTGCGCGCCTTGACTGTTTTCCTATAATTTTTCGGTCTGATCTCAGAATGACGTGATTTAAAATACGTTGGAAACCCGGAGAAGAGATCTACAACCTCCAATAGGTGAATCATACATGGAATGGACGAGACAGAGTGGCACTTCGTCTTTCGTGAGTGAAATGTAACTCCGATCGGATCGTCTCTTCATTATTCTATCGCCCCGTTGATTCGTACGCTTCGTCGAATCGCTTCATGCGCTTGTCGGCGTCAGATAATCCTCTTTGACTCGGATAATGACGTTCATCGTCTTCTCTCCGTCTCGAGCTGCGTGCGGGAACCTATAGGTAATTTTTAGCGCCTACCTGTTGACGGCAATAAAAATCCATTTTGAATATGATTTATATATACATTGAGATTGGTAAATGGTTTTCGTATAACTAACCTATTTTATGTTTATTATGAGGGGAAAACCCACAAGTAAATTGATACACACACACACACACACACACACACACACACACACACAGAGAGTGAGTGAGAGTGATGGGTATGCTTGGTACCAAGCACAAATTTTGTGCTTGATAGTGAGGTGTCATATTCCCATCCACTCATTCCAATTCCTAACCATCCTCCAACCCATGTGAATATGGGCCCCGATTTCAATGAGTAGAGGGGAGTATACCACCTCACTTCCAAGCAAAAAAATTTGTGTTTGGTACAAA